TCTTAACAATATTGAGTCTTTCATCCATGAACATGAAATGTCTTTCCATCTACTTAGACCATCTTTCATTTCTTTCAACCGTGTTTTGTAGTTTGCAGTGGATAAGTATTTCACTTTCTTGGTTAAATCTATTCCTAAGTATTTTATTCTTTGTGGTGCTATTGTAAATGGAATTGTTTTCTTACTTTTTCAGATTGTTCATTACTAGTGTATAGCAATACAACAGATTTCTGCATACTGGTCTATATACTGCAGTGTTGCTACACTTGTTTATTAGTTCTAATACATATATGACCATATAGATAAATATAAATATATATAATAGATATACATGCTCATACCATCTTCAAAAGGACAGATTTACTTCTTCCTTTCCAATCTGAGTGTCTTTTATTTATTTTGTCTTACCTAATTTGTCTGGGTATAATTTTTAGTACAACGTGGAATAGAAGTGGCAAGAGTGTACAACCTTATCTTATTTGATTTTAGGGGGGAGAGCTTTCAGTATGTTAGATGTGAGTTTTTCGTAAGTGTCCTTTATCAGTTCGAGGAAGTTCCCTTCTATTCCTAATTTGTTGAGTGCTTTTTGTTTTATCAAATGCTTTCCCTGCATCTTTCAGAGTAATCATGTTTATTATTTATTCTATTAATACAGTGTAGTACATTGATTGACTTTCATATGTTAAACTGGTCTTGCATTCCTGGGACAAACTCACTTGGTCCTAGCATATAATCCCTTAGTATGTTGCTAGATTTTCTTGTTAGTATTCTGTTGAGGATTTTGCATTCATAATCATAAGGGATACTGGACTATGATTTTCTTATGTTGCCTTTTCTGGCTTTATTATACCAATAACAAGTGTTGGCCTCATAGAACAAGTTCGGATGTGTCCCCTCTGTTCTATTTTTTGGAAGACTTTGATAAGATTAGTGTTAATTCTTTAAACATTTGATAGAAATTATCAATGAAGCATCTGATCCAGGGCTTTTTAAAAACTGGAATTGTTTGGACTCTAGTAATCAAATTGAGTCAAACTGAGTCAGAATCAATCTCTTTGCTATAGGTCTATTCAGATTTTCTATTTCTTCTTGAGTCAGTTTAGATTGTGTTTTTCTGTATTTGTCCATTTCATCCATATTAATTAATTATTGATGTACAATTATTTGTAGTATTCTGTTATCCTTTTTATTTCTGTAGGTCAGTACTAACTTTTTATACCTGATTTTAGTTATTTGAATCTTCTCTCTTTCTTCTTGGTCAATCTAGCCAAAGGTTGGTCAATTTTTAAAATTTTTTCAAAAAACCAATTTATCTATTCTTTGTTTTTTTTAAAGATTTTTCTATTCTTTATTTTTATTTTTTACATATATATTTATAAATAACAACTTCTTTACATGTAACACTGGTCAGCACATCCAATAACTGAAATAACATTTTTCTCAACATGACGAGCAAGGAACACTCCTAGAAACATCTTACATGTTTCTTTAAATCCTTGTCTGCATGCATTACATTATGATCAGCACATACACTCTCAGAAATAACTCTTCTCAACATGCCATACAAGAAACAATTTTTCAAACTTTTTTACATGTGTATTCAAACACATCTCTACATGCATTACAGAATGGCTAGCACACCCATTCACTGAAACACTATTTTTCTATTCTATATTTTCTCTGTGTCTGCCATAATCTTTATTATTTCCTTCTTCTTGCTTTCAGTTTAGTTTGCTTTATTTCTAGTTTTTTTTAAGGTGTAAGGTTAGGATAACTTATTTCTTCTTTAATGCAGGCTATCTATTTTCTTCTGAGCACTGTTTTTGTTGCATACCATAAGTATTGGTATGCTGTTTTATTTCAAACTTTCATTCACCTCAAAGTTTTCTCTAATTTCCTTTATTTCCCTTGAAATAAAGCCACCGGGGGGACAGATACACTGTCAGCGAGCAATTGCTACTCAGTATTTTTCATCTGGTGTGAGAGTAGATCATTCTTCTTTGGTTTGAACACCAGATAAAATCCGTAGTTGGTTGGATTTAGAGTTCATACTATGTAACAGATACCTATTGTTGAACACTACATTTACATGCAGCACAGGGTGTCTACATACCTAAAATCCTTTTGGTTATTTAAGGGTATATTGTTTAATTTCCCTATTTATTTTCATTTTGTTATTAGTTTCTAATTTTGTGCCATTGTAGTTGGAAAAGATACTTTGTATGATTTCAGTCTTTTTAAAATTTACTGAGACTTGAATTGTGGCCTAACATATGGTCTGCCTTGGAGAGTGCAGCACGCAGACTTGAGAGGAATGCGTACTCAGCTGTTGGGATGGTGTTGCGTCTAGCTGGCTTACGGTGCTGCCTGAGGCCTCTCCTTCCTTGCTATTCTTTATTTCTTTGTTGATTCAAGTGACTGTCTAGTATTCTTTCACTTCAGCCACAAGGACTACCTTTATTTTATTTTTTTTAAAGTTTTATTTATTTATGGGGGGGCAGTGCATAAGCAGGGGGAGCAGCAGAGGGAGAGGGAGAAGCAGGCCTCCCGCGGAGCAGGGAGCCCGACGCGGGGCTCCATCCCAGGGCCCCGGGATCATGACCTGAGCCGAAGGCAGCCGCTTACGACTGAGCCACCCAGGCACCCCTCAGCCACAAGAACTACCTTTAACATTCCTTTAAGGCAGGTGTGATAGTTTTTGTTTATCATGAGCTGTCTTAATTTTGTCTGTATTTTCACAGGCAGTTTTGCTGGCTATAGAATTCTAAGTTAACAGTTTTGTTCTTCCAGCACTTGAATATATCATCTAATGCTTTCTGGCCTCTATGGTTTCTGAGGAGAATCATGATAATCTTACTGTAAATCACATGTATATGGTGAGTTATCTTTCTCGCTGCTTTCAAGTTCCCCTCTTAGTCTTTGGCTTTTGATAATTTGATTGTGATGTGTCTTGGTGTGTATCTCTGTGTGGGCTTGGTTAACTTCTTTAAATGTGTATATTAAACTTTTCAACAGACTTGTAAAGTTTCCTACAAATATTCCTTCAAATACTCTTTTGGCCCCCTTTCCCATCTCTTTTCCTTCTGAAACACCCACTGTGTGAATACTGATAATATCCCACAGGTCTCTGAGGCCCTGTTGGCTTTCATTCTTTTTTCTTTTTTTTTTTTATCCTTTTTTCTTTCTGTTCCTCAGATTGGGTAATCTCCACTGGCCTAACTTCAAATTTGCAGATTCTTTTTGCTAACTATTCAAATCTGTTCAACTCCTACAGTGAATTTTTAAATTTCAGTTATTATAATTTTCAACTCCAGAAAAGATACTTACAATTTTTGTAAAATTATGACTTTAAATTATAATTTTTATAAGTTTATAACCATAAAAACATCATTTTTGCAATTTCTGCAGGAAAGATGGAGAAGATGGGTGCAGTACTTGAAGGTGGGAAAATGAGGGCGATTCATCTAAAAGCTATTTCCTCTATAAATTATGAGGGCCATTAAAAGTGAGGGAGGAAAAGTGGAGAGGTGAGGTTAGCTGAGAGACGGAGTAGAACTACAAAGCAATACGACGCCACCTGAAGACTGTGATCATGAATTTAAAAAGTCATTCAGTCCATTTATGTGATTTTTCTCAGGTAACATTCATCTGCTCAAGTACACGTGAAAGAAAGAAACAGAAGAATTCAACCAGAGGTTCTTGCAAGGCAAATACCTTTCTCTGAGAAAAGGCTAACATGTATTCTCCGGGGTTATACTTATGCCACATCAAAACAGCTCAAAATGCAAACCAGGAAGTATATAGCAAATATAAGTGTTGTGTCCATGAATTCGCACTTATAATCTTTTATTTTGACTTAGTACTCAAGATAATATTGATAACACATTCTGCTCATCAATCTTCCACCATCTCAATTTGGCCCTATACTGTACTTCCTTTTCTATTAGTAGATTTTCTTAAAAACACATTGATGAGATGTATAAAAATATACTTCAATTATCATTGTTCTAGAAATAGTTTTAATATTTTGAGGAAACTGTATAAAAAGCCAAATACACTTTTTTCCTAGAAAACAAAGGGATTAATTAACAATAAGGTAGCAATCTTTTTTTCATTGTAGAAATAAATTATATAAAATTTAAGCTCTCAATTTATATCATACTTTATTTTCTATCTTTTATATATCGCACATACTCATTGAAGGAAAAAGACTAAAAGCATAGATTTACACCAAAAGAGGTGATAAATAACTGCTCTTACTCCAAAAGAATCATATTAATATAAACAATTACAAATTTCAGATACATGAATAGGCCATGTTCTGTAAATAATAATGTGTTAGACATTATATGTTATATAAATATTAGTTTTATCTTACTATTTTGCAAAATATTTTAGCCTTGTCCATTTTCTCCTTATGCCTCAGTTTTCTCATTTATAATTTAAGGACTCACCTCTTTTTATAGTTTTACCAGAAATTAAGATATTTTGCTAGTAAGAATCATCCTTGAAATCTTACCATCAAAGTAAAGTCACATCAAACACACTGAGATCTATTTTTTTGAAAAACAGTGATTCTGAATCTTACTCATAGGTAAAGTTCTAAAGTCAGAGCCCAAATCATTCTTTGTGAGGGGCCACCAGGGGGGACAGATACACTGTCAGCGAGCAATTGCTACTCAGTATTTTTCCTCTGGTGTGAGAGTAGATCATTTTTCTTTGGTTTGAACACCAGATAAAATCCGTAGTTGGTTGAGTTTAGAGTTCGTACTATGTTAACAGATACCTATCATTAAACACTACATTTACATGCAGCACAGGGTGCCTACATACCTAAAATCCTTTTGAAGTGTGCACTTCACCTTGAATTCAGTCCAGGGTATACACAGAGTGACATCCACCCTCTTTAAATTACTTCTCACTCTCTCTCTTTTCCCACTTTTTGCTAAGTGTATATTTCTGCTCCTCAGTTTAAATATGTCAACTCACATGAATAACTAATAAGAAAGCAACTTAATCTTTAGGTAAGGAGATGTTATGTCCCATCTTTGTATACTAATTCTTAAGTTTAGACCAATTTTTTATGTATGATTAATTTGGAACTAATGTTGTAAAGAAAAATCCCTCAAACCTTTCATACGACTTTTCCCCACACATTTATATTCCAGAAAACTGCGGAGCTGGGGACGTGGCTCTCAGAGAACAAAACATTTCTACATAAGGAGCAGATACAGAGCAGCACTAACTCAGGTCGAGATTATATTACTTACTTCCATGTATCTGTGATCAAAGAAAAGAAACCATTGGGACCTACAATGTTATGATACAAAGAAAATTGTAACCATCAAATTTCAAAGGAGGATTAACAGACTAAAGAACAAGAAAACCTTTAGAGTTTTAGGGATGCAATATTTTGCTAAAACATTCAAATAAGATTATCAGGAGAGAAGTGTCTGCACTTGCTGTGGCGATTGGTGTAGGATGCTCTCTGGATCTCTGTATTCATTGACTGGATTCATCACAGCTGCATATACTTCACCGTAGGCTCTGCAGACTAATTCTGTAGACTGTTTTATGATCTGCTCTCTGTTGATAAATAAACAATATGTGAACACATAATCCGAAAATAAAATACTAAGAATTATAAGAAGCTTCGTATTTGAACCACCACATTTCATTTTCATAATTACCACATACATACTATAAAAAAAATCATTGTACAACTACACAAGTTACTTACTTTGGTTTGGGGATCAAACATACTTTTTTCATATTCATTATTTGTTTACTGTTGCAGCAGGGAAGGGACTGTGTTTTGTTTACAGCTGTATTTTTAGGATTATTAGACAAGAAACAGAAACTGTGACCTGCCATCAATGTCCTGATCTTGCAAACGTGACTGATAACACATTAACCTTAAAGAGGCTTATCGTCATTCGTATTTATCAAAGCTTCGAATCTCAGAATAACTTACAGTAAACTGTCCTTTCAGCTACAGCTCCTACACCAGTAACCACATTTTAGATTTCTTATCTATTTATATTACCAGGTTAAAATAATGTGACCCTCCAACAAGTCAGCATTTTCCACAAAAAGAATTTCTACATATGCACATAAAAGAATAAAAAGTTTTAAATGAACTGAAGCAAATTTTTAAAGATCTGACTAGAAAAAATAGCACTGGGTTCATAAAATCTGCATCAACTCTCTCCATGTTCTCATGACATTTACTTCTTGTCATTCTCAGCTACTTCTATTCAAGTATCACTATACCTAGTGATAAAAACACTATCTTTTCTGATTTTTACAACTAAATTTAAATGTGTCTTTCATGCTTCCCTCCCACACCTACTTTTTTGTTCTTATTTCTGTCAGTGGCATAACCATGTTGCATCACCTCAGTTCAGACCCTAATGAACTCTTGTATGGAGTATAGAGAAAAGCTCCCATCTGGTCTTCCCTCTTCTGGTCTCTTCCACATTCAATCTATCATAAGCACTGCTGCTAGATTAATCTTTCTAAAGCATACCTATTATCTTGTCTCTCCCTCACCCAGGGCCTTCCTTCAAGGAGTTTCTCTGGTTTCCGAGAAGTCAAAATCCCTCATCCTATCATTTAGAATCCTTTATAATACCTTCCATATCACAACTCTAATCCTGAGGTCCGACTCCTGACTGTTCTCTCTGCCCTGCTCGTTTCACCTGAATTCCTCTGCTCTATTCCTCCATTTGCCCAGGATGCTTTTCTCTCACCTTCAGCGACTTTAATTCTCAGTAAAAATGTACTCTCTCATTTCCTGATCCTCAGAGCTAGAAATAATTATTCCATTTTGGAATGTCCATGACCAAAATGATACTTAAAAAGACTATCTGTGGAAACATGTATCGGTGGTCTAAGAAAGAATAAAATTAACTGGACGGAATGAGAAGGGAAGTACACTTATGATCTTCGATCATCAGCACCCTGTTCTGACAGGGTCTCAAACTCTTGGTGAGGTGAAACAACTAGACATTTCTCCCAAATTGCTAAAGCTTTCAAAATGAGAATAGGTAGAAGGAAGTTACACTGAGTAAATGCTCTGAGCAGAGTGGAGAAATGCTCCTGGCTATACTACCTTTTCACTGGATGGTAGAAAGTGGTTTGGAAATCTACTTAACCAGATGAGCCTTCAAGATATTTTTGATCTATTAGTGATCATTCCTATAATTGACTGAAAATAATAAATGCATCAATATGATGCAAAATTATTTCCCATACATGAAACAGATGAAAAATACTATAAACTGATTTTTAAAAATCTGTTAAATATAATACACATTTGATGCCCATTTTGCAACAAGTCACATAATGAATTTTAGGCATAGTGGTTTTTCGTTCTTTGCTCAAAGCAGTAAGACAGATTTTGGGGGAGTGTATAAAGCATCCATTACTTATACCTGATACCCTAATACTCTAAAATCTATATTCAATCTGAACATAGTGTGTTATTTATACTACATAAGGAATACAAAGAGACAAGGCTATTCCCTCTCACAAGAAGTTTAAAATCTGAATATGGTACAATAATATTAAATATAATTTTAAAAAATCCAGAGTAACTGGTAAATGTAGAATGGTTGAAAAATCTGAATAAATTTTATTCTCAAGTTCAAATGATGAAAAATTTTAAATTTATTGGCATTTAGTTGTAACCTAGGGCACGTTTCTGTTTATAAGCTAAACTAGCTTACAAATGTATACAACTCACAATGCAGCAGAAAAATCATTATAAATCTGAAATGGAGAAAACCAGAATAAAGCAATACTGCTAAGACATAAATAAATAAAATCAAGCCAATAAGACCAAGTAAGAGTTTATAATTTATTTTCAATGTTGGTATTTGATAGTACAGCGTTTCTCATTCTGTTCCTCAGAAGCTACCAAGACAGGGAAGGGATTAAAAAATGAACACGGCTGTACAGAACAAGACAAGAGATACCAAAGCTATTGGAGAAAAGAAGTCTTCCATGTAGTGCAGTAAATAAAGGAAAGGGCAAAGAACTGTTCCTCCTCGCCTGTCAGCTAGCCGCTAAAGCCAAACAGGAGAGAAAGGCAATGGGAAGAGAGATTCTCCAAAGTGAATCTGAGTCAAATCCGAACTGTAAAGAGCAAGAACTGTGACTGATAATGATTTTTCACATTTCTGGACAAATGTAAGAGTTCACCGTCACTACCAAAGCCAGGTAAAGGTCCACACTCACATTCAATAATTTTTTTCTAAAGAACCACATATAGTAGAGATCAAATGGTACAGTGATGGACATTACTATCAGAAGACCTTGACTCTAGTCGAAGCTCTGACACTTCTTAATGTTGCCTTCAACAAGTAATTTAACATTTCTAGGACTAATTTCACTACTGTAAGGCAATATATTGAGCTTGATAATATTTACAGGGTACTTTTAAATTATTCGATTGGATTAAGGGCATTTTAATGATCTGCTATTTTTAAAAAAAACCCTCTATGTGCATCTATTTATACACATACATACATACATGTTATTTTGGGGAATTGGGTTCCTTAAATAATGATTTATAATAAGCATATCAGTTATTTGTATATAAATATTTTTACTTTTATATACAAATCTTGAGGTGTTAAAGGTTTTTACTTTCTTGCCGTTTTACTATCCCCTCCTTTTTATTTATAGTGCTAATTACTATGCAATTAGTATGTATCTTTTATCTTAAAAAGAATATGCATGTATCTGTATATCTATCTGTCTGCCTGCCTGGTGTCTTGGCCCAAATTATTCACTAATATCATTTAAGAAATGCAGAGTCTCGAATAATGATGAATCATTATAGTGACAAATAATCAATGTTCAAAATGGAAGTTTCCGGTATTCTCTAACTAAATACAAAATCACCAACAAATCATGTCATCATGTCAGTCATGTGCTTCTGAAAACTTGGAATGTGGTTATCTACCGATCAACCCGTGTACAGATAGGGGGAAGAAAGCAGTATTGTTTTTTAGTGGTGTATGCTGAGCACTGGTGCTAGCCCAGGCATTCACCTCAGATCTACATACTGTATTCTGATCAATCATAGCCAAGTCCATAGCTGGTGGATGGACAGTACTTTTAGAATTATTTCTTTTTTTTCCAATTTGAATTCAATTAATTAACATATAGTGTATTATTAGTTTCAGAGGTAGAGTTCGGTGATTCATCAGTTGTATATAACACCCAGTGCTCATTACATCAAGTGCCTTCCTTAATGCTCATCATTCCATTACCCCACCCCCCACCCACCTACCCTCCAGCAACCCTCACTTTGTTTCCTAGAGTTAAAAGTCTCTTACGGTTTGTCTACCTCTCCGATTTCATCTTATTTTATTTTTCCCTCCGTTCCCCTACGATCCTCTGTTTTGTTTCTTAAATTCCACATATGAGTGAAATCATTTGATAATTGTCTTTCTTTGACTTATTTGGCCTAGCATAATACCCTCTAGTTCTATCCACATCGTTGCAAATGGTAAAATTTCTTTCTTTTTTTTTTTGCTGGCTGAGTAATATTCCAGTGTGTGTGTGTGTGTGTGTGTGTGTGTGTGTGTGTAAGCGTATATGTATATACACACACATATATATATAAATATCACATCTTCTTTACTCCTCTGTTGATGGACATCTGGGCTCTTTCCATAGTTTGGCTATTGTAGACACTGCTTAGAATTATTTCTGTAGGTTAAAATCTAAACATAGGTCCTGCTTTTCACATGATCAAAGAATATGCAAAAAGGCCAGCTGAAAGGGAAAAAAATTTTGAATGTAAGCTATGATCATCTATAAAGTTAGACCATTAAATTCCTTGGTCTCTTTACTATCCATGAAAATCTCGTAGGTAGTAATTTATTAGGTGGTGCTCTATTGGCCTCTGGACAGTTTAATAATCTTCATAGTGCAAACAGAACTTTCAAAAAATAAAAACATAACTCATACAAATAAAGAATGAAAGAATGTCAAAAATTTAATAACTCCTTCATGAGGAAACTATTAGGATGGTAAAGCTGGTCATTTTGAGGAACTGGTCATTTATAGGCATTTGGAAAGGAAGGTTAGAATAAAACAGTTTAGACAAAAAACGGATTAATGTCCCATGGAGCAAAAAATACACAGGACATGAGGAAGCATGGGGTCTTTAATGAACAATAAGCAGAGCATCAGACTATGAAACATTCCCCCAAATAATTAAATAATTCTCAAAGGGTCTGTTAACAATGCTTCAGTGTGACATGGAAAGGACACACTGCTTTCCCAGACCCGATGTGCCCTATTCCCAAGTTTCTGAAAGTCTTTCTTACGTTTGGAAAGTAGTTTGCTATACCAGTGTATCATATATCAAGGATAATAGTCATGTAGTTAATTAACTACTGGAGAAAAGAAAAAAGAAACTGAAGGAGGAGATGAGGATGTTATAAAATTGTACAGAAGGGCAATACTTTTCTCATGCATCAGAATACCATGCATTAAGAAATTCAATTTGTCCAGTTATAAACATCACAATGTCCTAAAAATTTTGTATTATAAATCTCAAAAATATT